ATATCTATCCAATATTTCTTAGGAAATCATTAGGGTGCAATCTATAGAAAAAAACAGACTAATTGTTTAATAATATGAATGCGATCTTATAAAAAATGTTCTGACAAGCAGCTATTGGCAGTGAAATTATCAAGATGATTGACGAATTTCGTAAACGCTGAATACCAATGCCCATACTTTATATTGAAACTAAAACTTTAATTTTTTGCCTTAACTTTCTTGTACTTATTCAATTAATATATTTACTATAATTAAATAGTTAATAGTTCCGTTCATTCACTTACTAGGGCTTATTGAGATTACAGAAGTGTTTAGATTTAAAAATACAAAAAAATTAAAACTCATGGCAATTTTTTAACGATAAATGTATCGTACAATTTACAGTTAAATTTTATAAAATGATGGCAGTTTCTTACTATATTTACTTGTCCATGCGAGACAGTGTTAATGGCGGATAAATATATAACCTTTGGCTTTTGGGAACCTCTATGATAGCACACACATGTATAAAAAATATCAGGATTTTCTGGCTAGCGTGACGCACACGTGACGTTACAATTGACGCTACTCCGGCCTCTACAGTAGCTCCATACATCCTTTGTGTTATATAGTCTTTGTTCATGGTTTGACGCCAGTATTTTATAAAAATAATTGTATAATAGCAAATTTGGCCAAACATTAATTGTAAATAATAAAATAAACAAACATAAAACCTTCTAAATTTCACCAACATCATCTTGATGGCTGGAGGTCTTCCACAGTCCGTTTCTCAAGGCATTTTCTTTTCCGAACTAGCGAACTGTGGAATCGACTCCCGATGGGGGTTCTTCCCTCAGAGATACGACCTCCAAATGTTCAAAAAACGAGTATAATCCTCCCTCAAAGGCCGTCAACGCACCCACTAAAAATAGGTGCCTATGGGCTGCGATGACTGCCCTTTTTGGACGTCCCGCAAGCTCGTTTGCCCCCCTATTATATAAAAAAAACTCACATTAACTAACGACACCATTATGTAATGGTTACTTTTTGTATAATAAACGCTATGCATGAAAAGCTATATTTTTACAAATAATTTCTGAGGGTGTAGAATAATATTTCTCACTGTAATCTCTACCGTAAATCAATCATAGCTGAAGAAGAAAAGCCGTAACATTCGTGTTACGATAGTATAGTCATGTATTTCAGATACGAGTATACGAAAATGTCAAAATGTCAAATTTTTGACAAGGCAAGAACAATGCATGTCCAATGTTAATTTCGTTTAGTTCAAAATTCGTTTACGAAGCGCTCCTTAAGTTTACCATACAAAACTCTATCCTTACTGTTCTATTACGATAATAAAATTCATCCTAAGGCCTCAAACTGAGGAATTCTCAGGGTTTTTTATTTGATAAAATTATTTAATAAAGATAGAAAGTATTTCTATATACTTTTAAACCAGGCGTAGTACCTACATTACCTTGCTCAAACTGAATGCAGTCATAACTCGCAATGTTAGGAACTAATGGAATGTTTGAAAGGGTTTTAAAATATTTTCCGCCGAATGGAAGTTTTCAGTGCATGCATGATGTTAATTTTTTGTGCAAAGTGAATATCAGTGATTGATTTATTTCGCTTTAGTACCTGCTCTAAAAATGTTTTTTTATATTTATAAAACGAAAATTTCTAAAGCTAACCTAACCACTCCAGAATTGTAGTGTTCTTATATAATTGATTGTAATAATATAAACCGAAGATGAAAAATGTACCAGCCCAGTAATAAAAATATAAATTTTAACTCTCAATCAATCTCATTTATTTTTTCTACATAAAATCTGGAAATAAAGTCAGTTTTCCACAGTGTGTTTTGTATTTTTCCACAGTGAAATTTACTAACCTATTTTTGTAGCTCTTAATAAAACATTTGTAGACTACGACATACAATAATAAGTTAAAACAATTTGTTCAAAGGCGTTGTAGCCTTAGTCTATTTACGTAAACGTCCAAAATCATTAAAAATATAATTAAAAACAAACAGGGAGTCGTTACAAACAATTTGCATACAATTTGCTGTCGACGCCAAGAGAATATCAAGTGAATTATTACTTTTATTATCTTTTTTAAGAATTTCTTTAAGAGTGCAAAATATGGAAACCTATATTCTTATCGGTGTACATTCCTCTGTTTAATAAATCTTTACATACTAAATTGGTAAAGGACTTCGAATAACTAACTTAAATGGAAATCTTAAAGATTGTTTTGCTTCCTTGTCTAGTTTATTATGTATTAAGTACATGATATATGAAACTATAATTAATCTGGCTTACTTCGAAAACTCATCTCTGTTTGCCAGATATGATGAGAGAAACAGACACAAATATGTCTATCCTCTAGGGGGCTGCTGGATGTACCGCAACATGACATTATGTAACATGCTTCAAAGATATTTTAGCATAGTTTCATTGAAATATTTTAAGGTTACCGACCCATATTAATTTAACCCATTAAATGATAATCACTCCATTTAAATATCTGAACCTGTCTTAGTTCTCTGAGGTACCTATAGATTTTCTTATTCTACATAATCTCCAAATATTTCGCAACATTGTTGAAAATAGTTCTGACGTTAGGTAGTTAATACGAAAAACTCGTCATTTTCTTATACGAAAATGCAAACATCCGTAAAAATATAGGCAAAGTTCCAAGACAGACTCCCCGCGCAGATCGTGTGTAGGCGAAGGAAATCATTTATACGCACGTGAATGGCAATACTTATGTAGGTATAATTAGACTCAATTTTTTTATATACTCGTATATTAATATAGTCCCGAAATAATCTCTGTAAGTAGATTTAAGATTTTATTATTCATCATTATAATGTTAGCTAACCGTTTCTTTCTAAGACGTTGAAAAACTTTGGTTCTAAATTGAAAAACAAATTGATTTCTAATTAAATATTTTTTTTTAAAATGAATTATTCGTCCTTTCAGCATTCCAAAATGATCAGATCATCCTTCATCACCCTACTAAGCCAATGTGTCGTGTACTACCACAAAAAGGTTTCTTCAAATATTTCTATTTTAAAAATGAAAAATTTTCGCGAACCGGAAAATTTTCACGTACCTATTCCTTTGCGTTGATTTTATTGAGATAATTTATTTTATTAAAAAGAACATTTTCTCACGTGTAACAATGAATCACTGTTCTTTCGAGCCAAAAGCTAACGAGACAATGAGAATACGAAGAAAACCAATTAGTACGAAATATATTATTGTTCATGGCTTCATAGTTCTAAATACGTGACGTCTCATAAAAGATTTTTTTATCTTCTATTCATGTTATTTCTATTATAAATATTACAGAAAAAAATATATAATTAACACAGTGAAATACGCAGAAATTTGTCTTTTATTGGCGACTACTTTTTATTGATTTATTGAACAGAGGGCAAAAATGGACACTCTCAATGCCAGACGGCTCGCGAGTGCGTTGCCGGCCGTCATAACTTCACATACGAAAAATCCGGCTTACTACAGTTCTAATCCCTTTTAATCATATTATGTTATCTGTCATGTATCAATTTATTTCAGTACCTATACAACTACACTTATACAATTAATACAGTCCACTATATTGACAAATTACATTGTGAATTTTATCTAAATTTTTGTTATTCACCATACAATATTAGATAGGGCAACGCTGGTTATTAGGAATCCTAAATTGGCTTGTATAATCTGTGCCGTGTGAAATACCAGACTAATCTATAAATACTTTAACTAAATTTAGACGCTGAATTCAGGAAAGAGGAATCAAGGTTGTGAAAATTGAATTAATAAAAATTAGACATTCATTGAAGTCCCGTATCACCCCAATGGGCCATGGGGCAGATACGATTTAATACAGATTTCTACATTCTTATCTAATTATCACCTGAAATCATTATTGTTGGACCGGGAATCAAACTCAATGGTTTTTAGGTTAAACGTATTCAAGAAATTAAACTTATCAGAAATTGTGTTTTAATTTAATTATTGATCTGGTTTAAATCAGAATATTCGTAAAAATATGTTATCATAAAGAGTAGAAATAGTAAATTTAAATTATAAAGAGTACCATCATTGAGACTACTAAACAGAAAAACTCATTTCAGCGTCAGTTTCGTTGATTATTTAAAATAACAGTAATTGCTTCGCCAAGAAACCAATCTAGGACTTATATGTTAGGTTATAAGTTACGTTTGTTAACCACTAAACACAATAAAACTGGAATATTAGTAGCTTGATATCGAATTGTTTCCAGCGTCTTTTTATTGAAAACTCCTCAAGTATCATAAAATATCATTTGTCTCTGACAACGAATCGACCGGCTTTCCAAGTTTTTCCAATAAGAGTGTATCGAACTTACGAAACATTTCTCGTTATAATGTTTGAAATTTTAAACGACCTGTTTTTTATAAACTTAGGTTTAGATTTATCGAACCTTATATAAAGTACATATAAAGAAAGAAAGTTTATCTTAACTTATTACTTGTAACCTTTTATAATTATTTTTTTATTATCTGTACATATGTGTATAAAACAATTTTTTTCTGTATCTAAGAAATTGATTTTCGAGGATATATTTTAAACCCTGCTTATATTAAGTAAAACAATTATTTATATTATTCATGGAATCATATTCTTAATAACATATACATTTCTTTTTTTTTTAAAGGACAATTCACACCAATTGACCTAGCCCCATGCTAAGCTGGTGAAGCTTGTGTTATGGGTACTAGGCAACGGATATACATACATATTATAGATAGATAGACGTATAAATACATATTTAAACACCCAAGACCTAAGCACAACACCAAATGCTCATCACATCGATGTTCGTCTCTACATTATTTGTATAATAAGATATGTATCTTAAGCCGTGAACGCGTGACACTGAATTGTAATTTACCTTTAGGCAAACAATAAAACAAACTAACTATTTTACGTTTTCTGTTCCAGTAACATAAACGTTGAAAAATGGAGCAGTTCGAATCACTGCTGACATGCTGTGTGTGCTTGGATCGATACAGGAATCCAAAGCTCCTGCCATGTCAGCACAGCTTCTGTATGGAGCCGTGTATGGACGGCTTAGTGGATTACGTTAGAAGACAGGTAAGCGAGATATTATAAGCGAGATATCATGGCATATTGGCGGCTTATGTAATGTTGTATATCGTAATATAATGATAAAGGGGATATAATTTCAATTACTGCTAAAAACAATTGAACAGAGACAACATGATCAATTCTCTGACCACGACTGTCATTTTGAGGCTATCGGTAAACAGCACTGCAGTGAAGTCGAGATATGTACCTAAATGTAATAAATTAACCTTAATGCATATTTTGAGATCTTATTATTTTAGATTTTTAATATAAAATTTTATTATAGCCATAGAAATTTTTTTCTTACAATCAATCAGCAATATATGTTTTATGTATATTATTTATTATTATTAGTATAAGTATAAGTGTGTACCTAACAACTTAAAAGTATTAAAAATAGGTAACTTCCGTTAGTTAAACAAAAGTAGGTATAGATTTTCAGGTAGGCTTTTTTGCGAAAGAGTAACAGACAAATATGTTTTTAAAAAGACTTTATGCATTTGTATAATCAATATTATTGAGTATTTTTTTCATTTATAGGTCAAATGTCCAGAATGTCGCGCCGAACACCGTATTCCCTACCAGGGAGTCCAGGGATTCCCAACAAATGTTACACTGCAGCGGTTCTTAGAACTACATGTTCAAATTTCTGGAGAACTACCAGATCCCACAGCAGGACAGGTTATGGAAAGATGCAATGTTTGCTCAGAAAAAGCATATTGTGCACCTTGTGCTCATTGCGACAAGAAAGTGTGCGATGATTGTAAATCAGCGCACATGGAAGTCCTGCGTAGAGAAATAACTAGAATAAATAACCAAATACGACGCGGTGTACATAGGCTACAAGATATACTTGGTATAGTCGAACGAAACACATCAAACCTCCAAACAAACTGCGCTGCAGTATCAGGAGAAGTTGATGAAATACACAAGAGATTAGCTAAAGCACTAAAAGATCGAACAGATTTCTTGCGAAATGAAATCGACCGTTATTTAGCGACTGAACTCAGAAACCTAACACACCTCAAAGATAATTTAGAATTAGAATTAAGTAACATACAAAGTAACTGTGATGTCGCCGATAAATATATGAATGATGATGTGGAATGGGAAGACACAGAACTAGTCGATACTAAAGAAATATTTTTGAAGACCGTTGAATTTCTAAGGAACTTTGATTATGAAGCTGGTGATTATAATCGTAGGATACGGTTTATTATGACTCACGATCCTAATCAACTTGTTATGCATGTTGCTAGTTACGGTGAATTAAATATTACCAACCCTGCTCACACAAGTGGATATGGTGGAAGTAGCTTGCAACCGTCTCAAGGTCTTACTAGGTCTAAAAGTGACCATCGTCTCGCTACACAATTCCGGCAACAAGAAGAAACTAAAAGCTATTATGATAATGATGAACCTATTCTTGGAGGACGTAAATTTGGTGAGCGTCGGCCCCCACCGCCCGAAAAACCCACAAGGGAATACGGTGCAACTGATGACTATAGTGGCTATGAGTCGGAACATCGTCCTTCTCGTCGATTCAGATCCCGTTTTGTAAGAAGTCATCAACAAGATAATGACTCTGATACAGAACAGGCTACGCGCAATATAAAATCTGAACATAAAGAGAAAGAAAAAGAAAAAGTGACTGACACCGAAGATGCTACCCGTGGTCCTCTGAGTGGTATATTCCGCTTAAGCGATTGCCCAAGAGTTATGCAGAGAATGTTGGACGTGGACAGTGGAAAGAAAAAAGAAAAGAAAGAACCTCCACCGCCACCAAAACCCGTTCAGCCGACACCTCCAACCCAGCGTCGACCACCACCTGCTCGACAACAAAGTGAAGATGATGAAATATCCCGTCTTAAAAGACAAAATAAAGCTACATCTTCTCAAGAACCTGAACGGGCTGCACAAAGGGCTGTTGAAGAAGAAAGAAATTCGATTACTCGAAAACCACCTACGCCAGCCCGGGAGGTGAGTTGGGAGGATGAGACAGATTGATGAAACCACTATACAATTTAGATAATTATCACCGCTACTAACAAGGAAATCGTCAGTGCAAACTAGGGCATTCCAATCACACACTCCATGTTAACTCACAATTATAATACATAAACACAACACAACAAAATATAACCGTGAATTTTTGGTGTCAAAATCGAATTTACATATATTTCTCAGGCATCCAGTGATGGAGAATCAGATGAATCTCTTGGTACACTGCAAAGAAATCAACGAAAGAATACAACTACAGCCACAAAAACACCAGTTCCAACGCCACGTCGTCCTTCTGCCACTGAGACTCCCACCTCTCATCGCGTTCCTGCAAGAGCTGCTAGCACTGAATCGAGTGCTTCTACAGAAAGTTCCGGCTCGGCGGTTAAACACACAGGTGCTATATTATCGATTGAAGAATTAAAAGCTAAATATAGCAATGACGGACTTCCACCAAAACCAAGATCTCGTTTTTTGTCCGCAGGCGGTGATAGAACGACACCAGCAACTACAAATGGCACTGTCAGTGGTGCTCAACGTATCCAGAGTAGATTTATAGGCTCACAGCGACCAACGCCCGCTCCAGCACCCGCCGAGCCGGCTCAAGAAGACTCTGATTCTAGCTCTGAGGAGGAAACTGACTCGTCAGAGGAGAGTGAAGAGGAGCCTGCACCCCCACGGAAGCCCGAGAGCCAAGCGATGGCCCGCACTGATATTGGTCCATTACTTGCTCGCAGCAACAACGCTAGAACTGATGCCCAAGACAATAAAAACAAAGACAGTCCTGCGCAGCCACGCTATCGTACTCGACCACAACCAGCTGAGGAAGAAACACCTCGTTATGGAAATTCTGCTTCCTCATACAGTAACCGTTATGGTAGTAAACCTAAAGAAGAAGAACCAACATCTTCCTTTGATGATGAAACTAAATATCCGACTGCACGATCTAGATATTTAGCATTGAAAGAGCGACGTAATCGTTTAGCACGAAGTAAAAGTAGTCATAGTGGTTTCGGTGCTGGTGACGATGATGATCAAGACGAACCAGTATCACCTACCACTGCTTCACCTTCTGCATACCTAGCGGCTCGATACGGCTCCGGCACAGGTGGTTCAGAGTTGTCTCGAAGTCGATCATCACATGCCCTTAAGTCAAGGGAAAGCTCTCCTGAACGTCCTGTAGCAGGCGAAAAGGATGGAGCAGCTTTAAGTTCATGGGCACGCTACTTGAAGAGCAAGTATGGTTCGCGAGGAAAAGACCGCGATACGAGTGGTACATCATCGAGTGCATCCCGTCGCCTGTCTCTCGGGCTACCATTAAGATCAGCAAATGAGCTTGCCAGTTCTGATGATGATTCAAAAAACGCGGCAGGCTCCCCCATCTCCCCTACGGCGGCTACAGCAGCGGTAGCAGGTTAGAGATAAGAGTGGCGTGTACATAGGTTTGAGGCTTGATGGGTTTTAGACTGACTAGTGTAAGAGTGGATTCTAATCATTAATTATGTCCCAGGTTTCGCAGCAGCAGGTTCCTCCCCTAGGAGCCAGTATCTGCAGAAACGCCGTTTACAATTCAGCGTGGGGAGTCGGGGGAGCGAACCCGGCTACTTTACTTGGCCTCGTGGTATCGCTGTAGGTCCCGACAATACTATGGTTGTGGCTGATTCATCTAACCATCGAGTCCAGGTAACTGATTTATTTAGTGATTTTGTCAGACATATTTTTATCGCATTTAAAACGTTTTTTGCTGAAAAAAATATTACAACAATGGTAACATATTTACTAACAATTATATTTTATATTTGCATGCTACGATAGATTTACTTCACAAAATGTGATTTTTCTTTTTTTATTCACTAGGTATTTGATTCAAATGGAATATTCGTGAAAGAGTTTGGTCAATATGGCAGTTCTGAAGGTGAATTTGACTGTCTGGCTGGCGTGGCAGTCAACAGAATAGGGCAATACATCATTGCTGACAGATATAATCATCGGATACAGGTAAATATTTGATAGTAAGGAATGATGATGTCTTTAGTATTTATTTTACGTGCGGGCCAACTGCAAATTTTTGACACAATCTACATACGTACTAACTTAGTAAATATGTTATGATAAATAAAAATCAAATAAAAATATTTATTTTAATAGTTAGTATTTTTGAACGCCACAGCTTAAAACGATATTTTAGACTAGCTGGCAATGACTTTTCTGATAGTGTATAAAGTTATAACTTCGAAAATTAGCTCATATGGTAATATCAAACAGTTTTTTTAACAATTATTGTTATCAGAATATCGTGTTTATACTTATAACTACAATATAATCATCTTTTATAAACCCAGAGCCAACAAAAGGCCATCCTTTTGAAGACTTAATTCACATATTTTTTAAACTCTTCATACGTAAGCTTTATACATCGTGTTCATACACGGAAGAGTTCACGTCAAAAGTTTGCTATTTTAAGCTGAAGCGAAAAGTTTTGAGTATGTGAATGACAGCTTGACATGTAAGCAAACTTGGCGGACTGATTCTGCAGTAAATAACTTTATGATATGATTATATATATGTAACTAGAAGACTCGGCCAAGTGTTGCTGTGGCTAAGGCTTTTGTTATATTACCTAGTAGTAAACTATTCAAGGGAAACGGTAGGAGAACCAGTCATGGGGTCCACCATGCTTTTTGATGGTTATTCCAGTAAATTGTAGCTTATGTGAAACGTTGGTACTTTCATCACAGCGCCATCTGTTAGAATTGTGACTGTCAAATAGTAAACAAATCATTTGCAATAAAATAATATTGTGGGTATAAATTGAGATGTAAGCTATCCTATCTTTTAAGTTAGATGAAACTGCACACGGTGTGAAAATTTGATTGAAATCGGTTCAATAGTTTAGGAGTTCATAGCGGACAAACCACGTGACACGTAATTTATATATATTAAGATTAAGATATAAATATTTTCAATCTTAGCTATAGGTAAAGAAGAAATAAAATTTTGTATTTTTTTTTTTTTCAAAGACAATTCACACCAATTGACCTAATCCCATGCTAAGCTGGTGAAGCTTGTGTTATGGGTACTAGGCAACGGATATACATACATATTATAGATAGATAGACATATAAATACATATTTAAACACCCAAGACCTAAGCACAACACCAAATGCTCATCACATCGATGTTCGTCTCAGCCGGGGATCGTACCCGGGACCCATGGATTCGCAGTCAGGGGTACTAACCACTGGACCACTGAGTCGTCAAACATCAACTGCGTATAAATAAAGTCAATTATATTATAACATAATTCTTTACGTCAATTATCTATTTAGAAGATGAATCAAACATTTGTTAACAAGATCTTTTATAATATTATGTATTGTACCGAATCTTTTCCATGGCACGATTTTTTATTTTTTTTACTTAAATTAAAGTATAACTAACAACCTGACCAGCTTATAAATTCATCTTGCGACATTCTACTTACGTATAAGTTTATATTTTCAACAACCCTGCATCACAACATCACCTGCTTTTTTATACTTACTAGTATTTCTATATCATTAGCTCATCAGCCCTGTGATTCTGTAACTCAGTTTTCGAACTCACACAGCGGTTTTCGCATCGGCGGTCGCTCTCAAATCAGTCGTGAAGCAGTCATTCAGTCATAATTATATTATATAACAACTAATAAATGTCATGCGATCACATATATATTTCTTCTAAAATTAACCGCCTAATCCAAATAATATTATAAGCCACGACTCGATGCCATGAATTCGATCAATGTAATTCTTACACTCTCCGAAGAAATGAAACACTTTCTCCCTGTATGGAAACAAGATATTCCATTCTTCCCTATTTAAAACGCTGAAAGCAAAAACGTCTAAACGCAAGAAATATTTAATTTCCGTCCCAGCATATAATAATTTTAGCAGAATTTCGATATGAACTGCGGGGCGGATGGAATCTCGTATTATGTCATCCTTTATAAATTATTTGCACATAAATCTGTGTAAACGTCACACACGTTTGACTGAGGCGTATCGAGTTATCAGAGGCTAAATGATACTGTCCTAAAGCGTGATTATCTGGAATGCGCAATATATTATAATTTAATGTATCAATCCTGACCACGTACATTACGATAGTTTCGTTAAGTAATTGCATATACATATAATTTTAACAGCTCTAATGTTTTGACTTACTATACAATTTGTAAATATTACTGCGCGTGTTCTATTCGAACGATGCACGTTCGTTTATTTTATATTAATACCCCTCCAAAACTTTTATTCTATTATTTATGCAAAATGTTTTTATTATGATAGCTATTCAATTTTATGTTTTGCTCATGTTAAGGCCATCTCAGTGGTTTTGTTTAGATAATGCCATCAATCTACAAAACTTTGTGACACAATGATATTTTTAAGCTTTTAATGTTGATGAATTTTTGTTTATTTGGATCCAGAAGTTGCTTTAAAATGCTACTTCACCCCACGTTCTCAATTACTTTCACTGCCATTTTTGATAAATTACCTTAGAGGATACTAAGACACCGCGGATTTTCTCCTTTTAAATATTTTCCATTTTTATTACAAAAAGTGATTTATTATATTCATGTATGGTACTAAACTATTGAAATAAAGTCGCCTATTTTAATAGTATTTAATTATTCTTAGTGAAAAGCGAAAATATTTATTTACTATCACAGCGGACTTTAGTACAAAATGTTACATACTTGAATTTACTAATTAACCATCTATCTATGAATTAACAACGTAAAACGTGTTTTATATTACGTATATGTCGAAGCAATGGCGTTACTGTCAGCTGTCATTGTCGTTATGTCACAGAGCTCATAAGCCAAAACCGTTAATACCTGTGATTTATTCGATAAAACGCGTGTTAGTATTTGTTAACACGACCACGACCAAGAGCATTACTACTGGGCGATTCCCAGCGAAACCATAATCTAAATATATGAAACATGCAGTATCTCAATATTGGCGCTAGAGATAAGAGGCCTTATGTGTAAAACTGCCATTGTTTTTTCGCAATGGCAAGCAATAAAACATTTCTATTTTTGCAAAAAAAGTTGTATTAATGTATTACCTTAATGAAATCCTAAATTAAGTTTAACTAAAGTTAACACGATATTATTAAACTGTTAGGCGTAACGAATTTCGCCGGGTCCACTAGTATGAAACAACATTTAGTAGGCAAAAGGCCAATCTCCTGTGTATCTATTAAAACGACGCAGGAAATGTGCCAGTCGTTTACCCTTTCTTAGATTATGGTACTAACAGACAAAATAACCAATAAATTTATATCTTAGTATGAAAAACTCAACGTCATTGTCGGTTAGTCTGTAGTGCTCTAGATGCTCGTAAATCCCTGTAGAATCTCATCTGAAACAGAGCGATCGCGTTACACTCTATTCATTTCCCAACAGACATTTTGTATTCAGTTCGGCATAATTGAAACGACTTGCTATTCATCACGATTGCTTGTAAACTTGATTGAGGTTAAACACTGATTAGAGATGTAATAATGTATGAATTCACTTTAATAAGTCCCGTCTAATCCTGTGAGATTTGGGGCACCTGCGTGTTCTATTGATATATAATTTTGTCTCACAAACTATTCTGTTGCGCGAGTTTATATTTAGAATAACTGTTCGTTTGGTTCGTTCGTTTGATTCTCATTGGTCAACCCAGATACGCGTTTCGTTGTGTCTTATCGTTTGTTGTGTATGTGTTAATCTCATACGATTTTATATGCATGAAACTTAATTTTAGTATACCTTTTCATATATTGTCTTTAAAAAATCTCTTTTAGCTACACTTTTAATCCACTTAACGATAATGCCTCAGAAAAAATCAGAATGATATTATTATTCAAGTAACGTTGTCTGATAACATCGTATTATTATAATATATTTAACAATGAGAGCGTTAATACAGCCTTATTACGGTGCGTAACCGTTTAATGCTCATCATTGGGTAATTAAAGTCTATGGTTATGAGTTTCTTTATGTATTATTCTCACGTGAAATCGTGTATATTTTGCTACAGCCACAGACTCACTATTTTATTAAACACTGTTCTATTTACTAAATATTGTAAGAAGCTCAATCAAAGAATAATAATTTATAAATGTATGTATAATGTACCTGTACCATATGTGTATATCAGTAGACGAATAATTTAAAGGCTAAAAATTATATAAAAGTGTTATTTACGTTAACGCAATTGCACTTTCTTGAAAGTTTAAAGTTTTTGAGTGCATATAACATAAAGAATTATAAATTTTTTGATATATATTCTTTCGTATATTGTGTTTCAGATATTATTATTGGTTCATAGTTGAACTAATTTTTTCATCTTTGTCTCAGATATATATATATTGCACCATGTGCTAATTTGGTATATTCTGTTTGTCGCTAGGTATTTGATCCAGCCGGTCGCTTCCTGAGGTCATTCGGAAATCAGGGTACCGGGGATGGAAAGTTTAACTACCCATGGGGTATCACCACGGACGCTCTCGGATTCATTTATGTTTGTGACAAGGAAAACCATAGAGTCCAGGTAATTTTTATATTCTGACGTGATTTATTAAATATTGCACCGAAACCTACACAACAGGCATTTGAATTGATGATACACAGTTCATCAGCACATCATGATAAACTGTTTTCTGCAGTAATATTGTTTTTGTCTGTAATAAAAAATATACACACAGAGAAAAATTCTAAAACCTATTATATTCATTATTGTTTTGTATAGATTATATCGGACTTAACAACATTATTAACTATGTAAATTAATGACTGTAGTACAATGTCATTCGCATTCATCCGATTTTTATATTTTAAAAATCGGATGTATGAATTCTAAGACATCTTCGCACAAGTCTGCGTTTAAATTAATTACGGTAATATTATTATTTACAATCTGTGGCCACAGGTCGCCTAAAACTTGCGAAACTGAAATGTATTAATAATATTAAAAAATCCGATTGAAGTGAAATTAAATAATTAAATTCACTTCCAAATACAAATTATTTACTAATATAGAATTGTATATTGTGAAACGGATTTAACGAATGTGCTTTGTTATATTAATCCAACGTCCTCAGTAATTTTCATTTGTTAAGCTAAATTCTAAATTATTCTACTACTAGTAATTTCAATTTACGATATTATTATCTCCAGTCCATTGTGTTCTAAAATAAAATTGGTAAATGTGAAGTTCCTTAAAAAGTAGGGACAGACTCTGGCGCTGTTTATTTATTCTTAGGTAGCAAATCAGCTCAACTTTTTATATGGAAATATTGAAGATTAATTGAAGTACCATCTTCAGTTGAAGAACGCGGACGTGTGCGTTATTTATATATTTGCTTGAAGCATTACAGCACCTTTTAAGTATTTCTAATACTGTAAATTATATATAGAGCACCAATGGACTTTCTTTCTATGTGCGCTAAGATTCGCTCAATCGGTGAAGAAAAACATCGTGAGGAAACCGGATTGCCTTAGACCCAAAAAGTCGACGGCGTGTGTCAGGAACAGGAAGCTGATCACCAACTTGCTTATTAGATTGACATATGATCATAATACAGATACAGAAATCTGAGGCTCAGACCTATAAAGGTTGTAGCGCCACTGGTTTTTTTTTGTATATTATATCTAAATCTGGTTAAAACTTATTAGAAAACTAACGGTTCTGTACCTCGGTGTCGATTTACGTTTTACATTTTAAAAAGCAGCGCAGTTACCGCAGTTTTAATATCATTTATTTAAAATAAGTCTCTTTCTCTTCCCCGGTTCTAACGTTTTAATATTACATTACATAAACATAAGCTTCGTCGCAGCGCTTTTGAAACTAAACTAAATTTGTTATCACTATCGTCCGACGTTTTTTTTTATTTTTTAAAAACAAGGTTAGTTTTGTACGTGTAGGCAAACTCAACGATCGATCCAACGCACTAATGACAAATTGACTTTGACACATTGACAATTTACAATCTGTAAGATGTCTATTAGAATGGCAGTGTTCTCGTATTACAATATCTATGATTTATTGTAAAACATATAAATGTATGTTATAGGTATTCCAATCCGATGGCACATTCGTGGGCAAATTCGGGTCCTTTGGCTCCAAACTGGGACAATTGGAGCACCCTCACTACATAGCAGTATCGAACACCAACCGTGTCTTAGTATCCGATTCTAATAACCACAGAATCCAGGTGTTTGATGTGAATGGAAGGGTGTTATCTTCATTTGGAGAGGAAGGCTCGGAGGACGGACAGTTCAAGTTCCCAAGGTAGGCAAATTTACTTAATAACTGACGAGCATTATTATTTTAATATCTTATTTATATAACGTTATTTATATACATAACGTTTCTAGTCATTGTTATGTATAGTCCTTATTCATTTTGTTTTGATCAAATGCAATCATAGGTAAATAAACTTAGTTAAGGTAATAAGTAAACTTGTTAAAATCGGTTCGCCATAATACTAGTTAAATTGACGTCTAAACATTTAGGAGATTTTAATTGAAGTATAACACTTATAATATTATCCAATACATAATATACCGATGTATGGTAAGTGATTTAAAGTTTTATACATTTGTTAGGCTTACATTCCAACCGCAACTCTTTTGAGCGCAGCTATTGTGTTGGTCAAGTAACAACTATAAATCTCAAAACCAATTTTCCTTGCCGCATTCACGTAGCAAACATGCATCGTGTTCGTAAAATTTACAAAAGGCCAAAGATTTCCCATGCATTAAGCAGATTGGAATTCCGTATAGTTTGAAAATGTTCATACAAATCTCAGTTTCATTATGAATTTTTGCTTCAGAAAAACTTTTTGAAAACTGTTAGAAACTGAAAAATCATACGTGAACAATTTTTAAAAATACATGTAAGCAAAGTTTTCTACTTGTCGAACTCGCTGGAGTCAAATTATTGTTAGGCAGTTTACAAACATTACTAATAAGGTCAAATAGTAAGTAAACTATTACTCGCGCTACGCTGGATCACCCAAATCGTATCCAATGCATACATTATCTCGGCGACTACGCTAATCTTCTTCATTCCGTATAATAATATGATTAAATTAGTTTTCCGAGTTTGTTTTATCCTGTCAATGATAATAAAAAAATCATAATAAATAATAAACGAAATATATAAAATTTCATAGAAGACGACCGAGATTAAACTACAAAATTAGTTTATGATTAAAATGTCTGCGACTTTCTGAAAAGTTCTTATTCGAAATATTACATTTTTCTCAGGCTCATAATATCTCCAAACTCATTTCCACATTAAATGTTAAATTTGTTTTAACTTTGCTATACCTATTGAAATCAGTTCTTTGTTTCTGTATACCTGTGTATTAATAATAGATAATAATAATCTAGTCTTAGAAATTATTACGATTCATTAGTCACACAATTCGTGTTGTAACATCGATGCGATCTACCTGCACATTTCTAAAAATATTTTACATATTGTTAGCAACAAATATTTTTACTTATATTATTATTTTTATTTATATTTAAATATTTTCATAACACGATGTACATTACTAACCTACTCTAAAATTCTTTGAAAAATAATGTATCATTGAATAGAATAATAACAAAATGCATTGCTATTGTGATCAATATGAAAAAATACGGATAAAATAACCTACACCAATCTACACCTCCCTTAACCACAATAGTTATACCTCTCACTTCACTTAACTCCACTTTAGTTCCATACTATCAGCTAGTCTAGTCTACGTTAGTTATTGTTATTTCCATGACTTCCTGTTCTGCAGTATGGGCCCCCTTTTGGTTTGGGAGGCCTTTCCTCCAGAACTTTCCGTTTCTGGGCCTGTTCTTTGCTTCGTCCTTCAATTTCTCCCCAGTAATGTTGATGATGTCGTCAGCCTATCGCTTTTGTGGTCTTCCACGTTTCTTTTTCCTGGAGATTCCCTCGATCGGGTGGCTTTGTCGGTCCTTCCTTAGCCTCACCATAATATCTAGTCAATAAACACAGAAATTACCAATCCAGAGACCGTAGTACGTTAGGTAAGGTATCTCTACGGGTAGGATCAGATTTTCCAGGTAGTGGTGTCAGAAAGAGAAAAGAGTGGCGGAGAGTTTATTGCCAGTTCTTCTCTTTCATTCTACGCCCTTGATTTGATAACTGGCAGTAAATGTATAATTAGAAGCATTTAATTTATTTATTTTTTACGTGCATAAGTGTATATTGAACACACATCTATATGAATAAATTAATTTGATTGGATTTGATTTGTGAACAAAGACTTTAAAAGACTACTTATCTGAAGGTGATCACTTCTAGTAAGTAGAAGTAGTAGTTGTATTCATCAAGAACTCTAAAATTTTCTATGTTTAAATTATCAACAATTTAAACGTCGAATTTGCTGTACCCCTTTTAAGCCTCATTTGGGCATGACTTTCATTATGTCATGGGAAACTTTGGGGGTTATTAGTAAGTACGCGGTATGATAATAGGCTTACACTTTGGCCCTTTCGAAGTTATAGGTAGTCGTTAACGAGCAATCGATATTGCGTGACTAGACAGGTGGAAGTTTTGTGCCATTATTGTAGACTAGCGATTTTTACCGGGTTTGCCTTAGCGTCTTGGGCGATCTAATGTGTAAATATTCCAAATACAAAAGGTCTTAGATATTATGTATGAAATGTTCTTAGAATAAATTATTCTTTCAATATTATTGTATGAAGTGTGAAATTATACGGAGATCTTGTTCGGATTAATACCTGCAGCTGTGTTTCATCATCGGACGTCGAGGAAGAGCACGATATTCTACCCGTATCACCTCGATGTCCGTCGTTCCACAACTAAGCGTTTTAATTCACACTATGTGGAACAGACTTAGGGTCCTTCAAGGAAAGAGTGTACCAATTCTTAAAATGTCGGCAATGCACTCGCGAGGCCTCTGGCATTGAGAGTGTCCACGAGCGTTTTCACTTAACATCAGATGAGCCTGCACCTTAGCTCTCTATTCTATAAAAAAATGAACAATTCTCTAAATAATTCAATAGGATATAGGTGATATGTAGTGCAGCAATATGTATAGTGTAGACACGCGTTTACTATTAAGAGAAATATCCTTATTGAAAGAAAATAAAAGAACCGTGAAGTTCTTAAGATCGTTTACCTTGACCGACTTCTCTACGTGATCTTACTTTCTATTCGTATCAGAGCTTTCAAATAAACATTTACCGTAATATACCTCGATAGCACATGACTATGAACACATATCTCTCTTTCTTCTATACCTTTTTCGTTACAGCTTAAATGAATTAAAAAGAAACATTATTCTCTATTATTATTAATCAGGATTATAATCACAGCGAATCACACAAGACCAAACATCATATCCAAACAATACATGTGTCGCTATAATCTGATTGTCTAATTGGCATAGCTTCTCTTTAGACTAACACCTTGTCCTAGTAGACACACGCCAGTGACGAACAAGTCAAGGCCTGGTCCAAAGACTTCACACTTTCTCTAATTAATTATTATATATTGTTATAGGGGTGTGGCCGTGGATGATCAAGGCTATATAGTGGTCGCAGATTCTGGTAACAACCGTATTCAGATCTTCCACCCCGACGGAAGCTTCCTACGTGCTTTTGGCTCTTGGGGTTCAAGTGATGGAGAGTTCAAGGGTCTAGAAGGCATAGCTGTTATGTCAAATGGCAACATTATAGTATGTGACCGAGAGAATCATAGAGTACAAGTGTTTTGAGGTGAGAAACTAAGTTATATATAAGTTTTATAATACTAGGGGTAAGGTTAGTAACGGGCTGGAGGCTCATCTGAGGTTAAGTGACACCGCCATCTAAACACAGTCACACTGCACTGCACAGGCTCGCTAGTGTGTTACCGGCCGTTATCGCCAAGAAATTAAGTTTTTTTAGGAAATATGAGTGAACATATTATCCATGTAATTTCTGGACGCTTTCGTATTTCTTTCAATTGTAAAGACGGTTTATAAAAATGTATAACCATGATTTTACTATCGTAATTCATGCAAACCTCTTGAGTTATATTATACTAATAGGGAAAAGTAAAGAGAAGTGACTAAGTGTATAACTTTATACTGTAAATTAATATTATAACAATAGTACCTACTAACGGAGATAAAATTAAAAACTTATTACTTTTTTCAGATTCTTCAAGGATACAGTTCAAGAACCGTGTTCAATAATTCTATCTTTTCTTGTAAATAATTATAACTAATTATAATTGTTAACAATGTTTCTATCTATCTGCTCTACTCTATCTTCTCACTGCTGCCTTTATTTCGAAAGTCATCCATAACACTACCTGAAATTAATCTGTAATATCGCTTCCATTACTATTTCACAAGTAAAACCTTTTATCATTTTTAATTGCACTTATATTAAACGGCTTATTAAGTTACACATAGCAATAATTTAAAGTAACATAAATTCTTGTAAATAGTGAAACAATAATTGTTGACTATTTAAAATATGCATTGCTCCATGTTTTGGTTCGGGTTGAACGACCGTGAAAAGGTGATCTAACCTTAGCTGCTTATTGCCGACTTTTAAAAGTTAGCTTAAGTATTCGATTTCAACAAAATCATTGATCTATAATTCTCCTAATGAGCTATTATATATTTCGTTCGATATTAACAGTTCAATATTAAATTTATATCCATTAATTAGTGTATTAAGCCCCATAGGTATTTTGTTCTAATTGGCAATCCGGTATCGAATCTTAGCGAAATGAACGTTTGAAACCTCTTAATTTAATTAAAAGGGATCAGATTTTAATTTTATCCGGAAAGAAAATTTCAGTAACGAAATTTTGCTAACCGACTTAAAAGTCATCATATTGTGTCAGTACTCCAGTAGTATTATGAATTATTTATATTATTTTTACTAATTAAATTTGATTATTGCGATGTTATTTCCTATTAAAAAAGGTAATATTACGAGTAATAATCATCTTTATACAAATGTTTTGCTAACAGAAGTTTACAATTTGGGATTATAAACTATAATTGAATTTATCCAAAACGATCTTTTTATCACGCTTCCATATATTTCTTGTTAATAAAAAGAGTTTATGTTCGGTGACCTGAATGAAGTGAGCAACAACCAGAAAAATATTTTCAAGATTTGCGAATGTGTGGAACAAAATTATTCATTTAAAACTAGATTTTGTTATTCAGTCGACTGTGATGCAAGGTGACCTACTTATTTAAAAACTGACATTCTCTTATAATGCTTCTGTACACTTTTCAAGGCACTTAGAATTTAATTTTGGTTTTAATAACATTAATTTTCACAAGTTTCCCCGCCCTAGTGAACGTTTTATAGTAAACACAAACTTAACATTATTTTGTATTTAAGGTAGTCAAATAATCTAGTCATTTTATAATTATACCAATTTTCGATGTGCCAAAGACTTGCCTGTACAAATTTTTCTAATGCTTATCTTAAAACTATTTACGCATTGTTTAATGTAAGGCAACTTTGTAATGTTCTCTAAAATATACTGTGTTTATTTCAATACTGTTTTTTTATTTAGAATACCCATATTTTCATGTACGCACTTGAAGTTGAAGTTGGAGTGCAATGTCATTATGACAGGGACTTTATATTTTATCTTCAGGTTTAAAAGTGTTTTGAGTTCATAACACGGGAATTCTTACTCCACCAAAAATGGGTTTGACTCAAATGTACCCCACTCTATAATAACTAATAATAATACAAATAAAAATGTGTTTATTCATTATTAGTACATAAGCATTACAATGTGTAAGATTTGGGAACCCTTTTAAGAAAAAAAATACCTGTTTTAGGGTTCCCAGCTCATCCATAATAAACTTAAATTCCTTAAAATACATATATTATGATGACCTGTAACACAGGTACTCTTACCTTTAGCAGGCACCAGTCTCACAGAAACTAGCATTTTCCCTAAATAGAAGAAAGACAATTATTTATTTATAACTGTCACTTGTTTATGTTCTAAGTTTTTGTGAGAAAAAATGAATAAAGATTATAATTTTTTTATTACATCTCTTATTATATTTATTTTTGTTTTTGTTTTTTAACTGTTTCAACATGCCTGAGTACATGAGTGAGTGTGTGAGTGCATGATTGTGAAAGAGTAACTGTATGGGTGCAAGTGAGAGAGAGAGTGTGTGATAACGACGGAGAGTAGTAATTAAAATATGCTTGTTAAGAGAACTAAGTATTTGTTAAAATATTATACACTTATTGGGCCTTTGCTGTTTGATAAGGACAATAAGGTTAAAACATTCAATAGCTTTGCATTATTTGTTTGAAGCTTTCAAATATTCTAAGACTTAAAAAACTAGAATATTTTATTCAAAAAATCTTAGGTAAAATATATATTTGATAATCTTCCTTCTGATACTAATTTTGGTCTGGTATAGATCCCTATGTAATAGAATATTATTCAATATTAAAAGCGAAAAACCATTAATCTAAACCGGATATTTAATATCGTCTATAGTTCCCACGGTCTCAAGTCCCTTGTAACCTAAACATCAACGTCAAGCTAATAAATTCGTTCAAAAATTCAATATTTGACATCTCAATAATGAAAGGCCATACGAAAAGGTACGTTTCCACCAAATACAGAGATTTTATACAGATAATGTATGCTTGAGTGGGATGTTATAAGTTTTATATAAATGTATGCATATCTTTGTCTGTGACATTGTTATCAATATGTATATTATAAAGTAGAAACTAATAACTAAAGTATACGCGTATTTTACATATTTATATTTAGACTTATAAGACCATTAACAATATGGGATGATAAATTACTTCATTTAATTTTGTTAATATGTGTTTTATTTACTAAAAATAAACATGCAATAATGACTCTTCGGTAACGATGATAACCTTTCCGCTCCTATTATCCGAAGTCACATCGCTCCCCTATATTTGTACATCAAACCTTAATTCTTCTTAGAATGATAAATCGAGGGAAGGTTTTTATTTTAGAAAGCTATTATTCACGTTAGCTATGACAAATTGAGAGGAATTGCTTGCTAAAATTGAGATGGCTAGGACACGTTTAGTGTTCCAATTTACTTGCACGAGACGTTGCTAGGAAGGAAATGTATGGTCCGACAATGTTACAAGTACAAAAATACCTTGTTAGTAAAATGTATTAGATAAGTATTAAATGATTAGTCAATGTGTAAGCTTAGCATCCGTGTTATTTAAAAACTTTTTTAAATCAAAATGATAGTGGCCACTAACAAAAAAAACAAAACGTGATTGGTTAAACGGAAACACACATGTCACGAGTCTGTTACTTGACTTATGTGCTTCTCTTAACATTTTGTTTTACATTCTCATTCTCCATGTTAACGATAAGTTTTCATATTTTTTAATAATAACCCCTTTGAACTAAATATTAAGCATAAGATAAAGACTTAACGCATTAAGACTCTCTTTAGTTCAGTAAAAGCCTCTTCATCAATCGCGCCACAATGTCACATCTCGCTATGACAAGATATTGAGTGATTATTCTATCGACACAGAGTGAATTGTTTAGTAGAACCATTTAATATAAACACGGTTAATACTTGTTTCTTAAAATAATGTAGTTAAAGGAATTTGGATTTAATATTCATCGGTAAATATTGGCTATATGAACTCGCCAACTTAGCAATTAAAAGACGAAAGGAACATCAGACACTACAATTTTAATAATAGTATAAAATATGTACTAATTATTATTTAAAGAGATAAGCGGATTTACTTGTATTTCTGTAATTTAATGTGATAAGGTTCCTTTAAAATTCTTGATATATGTAAGATAGGAATTTTTGAAGTGAGACAAAAAATCTAATTAAGAACTTCGTAAATTGTAAATAACCTATGTTTACGTTAATACCGCTTAAAATTGGTCTTGGGTAGAATCGACTCAACGGATGTGAAAAAGTATCATACATCTACAAGTGCAGTACACGTATTTTAAATAAATTGATTTGTGTGTAAAAATACTTTAGTCTTGTTAAGTGACAACTGTTTTGTTGAATCTATGCTTGTACTTATCAAAGTCTAGTTTCTAGGACCACTTACCATCACTTTCAGTATAACATGGTGATATTTGTAAATCACCTTTATACAAAATAAAGGTGAATTCTATAACATAACCTTTCTTTAACCTTTTTTTTTTGTTAACCAGAGAGAATGACACCTTGTGGATTAACTTTTTAAGAGGCTATGGTTGTTCAGATTTCACTTGACAAACTCGACATTGACCGCTGACATGGCACACGTGCTTCTTTCAAGTTTTAGCTGCTAAAGGTGCGCGATACTGCTAACAGCCCACGAGAGTAATTTTATATATAATGAGGAGTATTTAAGATGCTGTTTTACATAAATAAATCGGATTTGAATATTACTCTATCTTATTCATTTCTCGCTTCCTCTCAAAGTGGCTAAGCTCTTTTGTGGGCCTGCCTGCAATTCATTCAATCTGGAATTTAAATCAAATAATCTATCCAATTTCGTTCATTTAACCTAAATTTATGAAACGGTCGCATAAAATAATCAAAATTTTAGTTAAATTACACAAAACCTTCAATTCAATTCACAATCACCTAACAAATCATCCACGTAACAATTTAACCAACCAATAATTGGAGCCGCTAACACTCTATTCTCTTATCTGAGATATGGTTGGGGATGGCAATAAAACAATTTAGTGCCTATCAGAACA